TTGGAACTAAGCAAGCTTCACTTTGACCATAATTCATACATGCTAAATAAAGAAGACATTTTGAGGCTGTCACATCCCCAAATTTCTTACCTTTTGTATTTAAATTACAAATGACAATAAACTCTGGAAAATATATTCAACCCAAAAATTATAAGTAATTTGTGCTCAAATTTTTTAATGCTTTTTTGACTTTTTTCCTTTTCATTTGCCTTAAGCTTTGATAAGCAGTTGAAACATAATGTCAGAACAGCAATATAAAAGCAACAAAATATTACATTTAATTACAATTATTTTTGTGACTTGAAATTGCTTATTCTCATTAGATTGCTTTACAATGGCTGAAGATGTTTAATTCCTCTAAACACAACAGATGCTAAGATTTGTGTGGTAGACAGATTGTAAACACTATTGAATATCTGTTATGAGATTAAAAGCAAGTACATTTTTTGAAAATATTTTATTATGTATATGGATATTGATTGTTTGAGTACCTATATGTGAAGACTGAGTATTTATTGAAGGTAATTAGTATGTAGAGAAAAAGTTTTCATATCAGGTTGTCAACTACAGTTTACTTAAAGCAAATTATTCATCAAGAGCAGCAGCCAACCCAAGTAAACCTTAAAATATGCTGATTTTGCTGTGTAAAAAATATTGAAATAATACCAAAGTGTTGCCTGATGGGGTAAATTAAATCAATTATATAAAATTATTGCTCTTTCAGTAGTTTTTGTTCTGGCAGCTATAAAATATATTTTATTGTTTAAAAGTATTTGGCAGATTGGTTTCTAATTAGCTTTTTATTTTTATATTTGTTATTTAAACTGCAATATAAAAAGAAAGGAAAGGAACATAAATCGTACAATAACTTGTATTTTTTGTTTCTAGTTCGTTATGAGAAGCAAAACTGTAAATTTCAAAATTATTGAAGATGAAATATTTCATAAGTTTCCATTCTGAAACAAAATAGGTTTTAACCATTTGTTAGGCATTATTAGCAGACAATGGTAATTATTTAATGAGAAAATCAGGTGTCAATGAATATTTATAGTTTTTGTTGTAGTTTTCTGCTTTGCATCACTCAAGTTCCTGTATATTATTCAACTATTGTCAATGAAATTGTATGGCAAGTCCACTTTTAAGGCAGTTAAAATTTGCGACAGAAAACTGCATCATACTCTCTTTAACAACTGCAGTTGCTTATCAGTAAAGTATTTTCTTACATCTATTGCCACAAGGAAACCAGGTCAATGCTTTAAACAAAGAAGATTCTCTTATTTGTCTGCATAAGGTTTAGAACTTTTTTTTTTTTTTCTTCTTCTTCTTCTTCTTCTTCTTCTTCATGATATTCAATCAATATTTACTTACTTTTTTAATTTAAACAGATCAGATAAATGAACTCTTATGTTTTCATTCAGACGAAGGCAAATTTAAAAGTAGATGATTATATGCTTAAGTCTCTATAGTTTAAAATCCAAGAATTCCAAGTCTGCAATATGTGCAATAGTAAAGTTTTTAAAAAATTGATGACTTTATTTATAGCAGTATTGAAGAGTGGTATAAGTAGAATCTGTTGTATTTCCTTTTTTGAAATCTCTTAATCTTGGATTCTGCTCTAATTTAATTCTCTAGATTGATCTATTGAATTATTAAGTCACTATTGTTCTACTACTAATGTACTCTAATTTGTGAGGTGTGAACAAAGTTATTGAAATGTACTTACTAAAATGGTCATCATTTATTTATTAATGTTCAATCAATTTTAGATTCTGCTTATTGGCCATTGCCTTAGTTTCTTCCATTATTTATTATTTTGTACTTAAAATGTAGGCATGACTTCTTTCTTTATTTCTCAAAACACAACTTCATTGAAATAATTTAAAATTTACCTATTCTCTGTTTGTGCAATTATATTTAGAAAGACCAGATTCAAATTTAATTTTCTGAATGTATTATACTTTTGATATTCATCATAGACAAATTTGTGGTTTATAACTCAAAGTTGAAATTACTTT